GTCCATTTTTCAACTTTCACTACACTTTGACCTCTGGAGCAGGCTGTCACAGTTCAAGCTGGACAAAATGGCCAGGTTCCAGGGCAGCAACAACAGGAAGCTGGGCCTGCCAGTCTGCCCCGCCCCCAGCAGCTTCTTCCCCGAAAGGCATTGCGTCAAGACTTCCTGGTCACCATTCCTAGTGGGGACACTTCGCTGCCTCTTCCTTGACCTTCCATGCTCTGCTTTGAGGCCCACAAGTTTCTCCTATTTCTTAAATCTGACTTTTCCATTTTTTTTGGGGGGGGGTGACTGTTTTTTGTGCCACACCCAGTGGTGCTCAGAACTTACTTCTGACTGTACTCAGGAATCACTCCTGGCGGGGGGCTGGGGGATCGAACCCTTGTCAGCTGCATGCAAGCAAGCACCCTCCTGCTGTGCTATTGCTCTGGCCCAAGGGTTTATTTTGGGGGCCACATCAGGATAAGGTTTGCTCAGGACCAAATGGTGAAAATGGTGACCGGCTGATGAGAAAATACATCCCAGAATCAAAGATCAATTTTATGATCCACCTGGCCCCAGGAGGCCACCAGGCTGCATTTCATGCTTCCTCACACCAACCCCCTACAGATAATAAGGCCAGACCAACCACTTCGTCCTCCTGGTCTCTGTTCCCTTTTCCCGCCCAAGACAACTTAAAATCCTGCTTAGTCTTTCTCAGGGTGCGCCTCTACCCCATTCTCATCAGGGGCCAGTAGGGTCTGCCCACTTTATTCGCCTCTGTCCCTCTGTCTGCATCAGGGTGAGGTTTCCAACCTATCAGGTGATGTTCAGGGTTTTTTTTTTTTTTTACCAATATTGCCTTTCCCCTCCATGCTCAAGCAGAAGCAGCACAGGAACTTCTTTCCACCCTACTCTTAGCTTCTCCACACAACCCTTTCATAGTCTACAAGGGGGATTTAGCCCTTTTATTTGGGGAAGGAATAAGGAGTATTGAAACATATCTCCTGTGGGGGAGGCGGGTATTGTACACTGATCTTCAGCCCTGGCTGGGCGTCAGTCTGTGGGAGTCCAGCAGAGCTTAAGGAACCCTCTCTAGAGGGTTGGTAAATGAACAGTAAACATAAAATATTATTATTATTATTTTTTTTTGTAGTGGTGCCAGCGATCAAACCTAGCCCTTACATATGAAGCATGTACTCTAGCACTGAGTTACACCCCAGGTTCAAAAGCTATTAATAATAAAATCACTAAACATGTCAAATAGTAATGTATGCTTTTTATTAACATGTCAAGTAAGATATAATAAATGCCTTAATTTCAGAGAAGATAGGCATGTTCAGGAAGGTATGGCCATAAACATAATCTTAAAATAGTGAAGAATATGGATGATTTTTGGGTACCTGCAAAAGTGCAGCATGGTAGAGCTGGGGCAGTTCAATGGGCAAAAGCCCATGCTTTGTACGTGGGAGGCCCAGCCTGATCCAAGCACTGTGCTGGGGGTGGCCTCCAACCGAAATAAACAAGCAAACAAACAAAACTCTCCAGGAGGGAAGGAAAGAGTATTTGCTAATACTATTAAGAGTTACTGATGGGGACAGAGGGAAACCTGGGAACACTGGTGGAAGGGAGTAGACACTGGTGAGGGGATTGATGTTGGAGCATTGTACACCTGAAACCAAATCATGGATAACTGTATAATTTGCAATGACTTAATTAAAAAAAATTAGAGGGGAAAAATATTGTTGCCCACACTCACAATCATAGAAAATGAATTTTCGTTAAGGTTGGTGAAAATTAAAAAAAAAAGTACTTCCGCCATCTAAATTCAGATCTCTAAATTCTAACCACAGGTGCTCAGGACATAGTTCACCAATAGAGCACTTGCCTTTCAAGTATGAGTGAGGCACTGGGTTGGTCTCTGGTACTGAGTGGAAAAAAAAAATTGGGAGCTAGAGAGACAGCTCAAAGGGCAGAGTGGATGCATGCTTTGCAGGCGGAAGCGAAGGTCCATCCATCTTAAGAGTTCCCAGGGCAGAGAGCTGGGTGTGGTCCAAAAAACAAATAAGAGGCTGGAGCGACTGTATCCCTGGTAGGGCCCTTGCCTTGCATTCAGCTGAATGAAGACGGCTGGATCCCTTGGCACCACATAAGGTCCCTGAGCTGCACCAGGAGTGAGCCAGGAGTAGGCCCTGAGCGCTGCTGGGTGTGGCCTTAAAGCAAACAAATCAAAAATCAAACTCCCAAAAACCAACCAAACAAAAATATTACCCACAAGAGGCTGGAGAAATAGTACAGTAGGTAAGTCTGCCTTGCACATAGCCAACCCTGACACCACATGTGGTCAGTCCTGAGCACCACCAGCAATGATTTCTGACCGCAGAACCGTAAGGAAGCCCTGAGCACAGTTCTGTCCCCCACCAAAACCAAAACCAAAATGTTACCCACAAACTCCAGTTTGAGAACCTCTGGATCTACTGTAGAGAGAGGCATGTGATATTTAGATGTCCTTTTGAAATTTCTAGACGCCCATAAAAAAAAAAATCTTTTCTATCTGTTTGGCCACACCCATGGTGCTCACTTCTGGTTCCACACTCAAGATCACTCCCACTGAGGCTCTAGAGATAACATGGGATCAAACACTTGGAGGGCCATGGCAAGACAAGTACCCTACCTGTTGTACTATTGCCCCAGCCCTGAAAAGCGTTTATATTACAGACTTAAGGAGGGAGACTGAATTGAAAAGGATAACTAGACTTTTCAGGTGGAAAAGATGAGCATCAATGCGTTAGCACTCCCCTAAAATTGGGCTGAGAAGCCTCTGGACTTAAATGCTGGCAAGGTAACCAAGAGAGGGCAGGCTGGGATTTTACAAGTCAGAGAGAGCCGTATCTCAGCTCCATTACCCCCACTCCCAACACACTATAAATCAAACATAACTCCAGTCAATTCTCTCTCTCTTGACTCCAGTACCTTCCATCCTCAGCAGGCCTCCTCTCCCCACCCCTGAAACTGCTTCACAGTGAGCCCGGCACTGGCCTCTGATTAGAAGACCAGGTTCTGGGCAACCGAAAGCTCATCTCAAGGGCTCCCTTTTATGCCCCAGTCTCAAGGCTCTCCAGTAAGACAAAATTGGATCTTTTTTCCGCCTCAGTTCAGCCTGGGCTACTACCAGGGGGAGGAAAGGCCAAAACACTCTGTAAGAAAAAGAAAGTGTAGAGGCCAGAGCTATGGTATAGCGGGTAGGGCACTTGTCTTGCACTTGGCCCACCCAGGTTTGATACCCGGCATCTGGTATGATCTCAGAGACCACCAGGAGTGATTCCTGAGTGTGGAGGCAGGAGTAGGCCCTGAGCACTGTTGGGTGTGGCACAAAACAAAAGACAAACAAGCAAGCAAAAGTGCAGATTGGGTGTTCTCAGAGCCAGTGCTAGGTGCAGGGCCGGGGACAATCCCTGGTTTTATGAAGGAAGGAAAATCTGTCCAGGTAGTGCTCTCAGGGCCTCTCTCCTGACTTCAAGGCTCTCTCTAGTCTACGGAGAAGTGAAGTATCCAATTTCCCTCAAAGGCGTCCAGGTCTGGGAGAGAGCGGGGATTTCCTGTCCAGGGGAGGAGATGAGGGAGGCATTGATTTTGCGATGCAACCTGGATCAGCAGTTAAGATTCTGGGTGAAACTTTCCAATGAGGCTGTTCCCCCCACCCCCCACCCCTCGTGTAGAGGACAGCTACCGGGCCCGGCCTCGCCCACTGCCACCTCCCGGCTCGGTGGCCAGCCCCGTGCTACTGGGCACCGTGTGCAGCGCGGCTCCTGGGAAGCCAGACAGCAGGGACGCGGGCGGGTGGGCAGTGCCGCCCCTCCCCAGCACCTGTGCGCCAGGCTGGAAAGGCTGCAGCCATTTTCCAGGGCGCCCCAAATCCGAAGGGTCAACAGGAAGCGTGAGGGTCGCGGTCCCTCGGCCCTCCCCAGCCCCGCCTTAAGCGCAGGGGCATTCTCGGAGCCTGCAGCGTCCTGCTGCCGAGATGCATAGCCCCAAGGCCGGTTTCCCAACCTGTAGAGGCCGCGCCCGCGCCTTCCCGGGCGGCCGGCGCCCTGGAAAGCCCCGCCTGGCCGGAATAAACGGGTCCGAGCGCACGTCGGGACTAGAGCCGGGTGCCAGGGCCGCCCCGCGCCCCGCCCTGGGCACCTGCGCTCGCGGGCGGCGCGACCCCTCTCCAGCCCCGGGCGCTGGCACCCCGCCAGACCGCTGTGTCGGTTCCCAGCACCGCCGGGCCCCTCCCTCCGGGGACCCCCCGGCTTCTTGTCGGGACCCCCCAGAACCACGGTGGGCTCGGGAGGGGGCGAGGGAAAGGGAGTAAACAGCGGCCGAGCCGCAGCGCAGGGTGGTGGTGGTGGGGGGGGGATTGGGGAACCCCCGCGGGGCGCGCTCGCGGGCGAGGGGCACGCAACGCAGGGGCCCTTCTGGAATGGGGGGCCTGGGGAGCGGACGCCGAGCACCCCGCGCTCCCGCCCCCGCCGCCCGCTCACCTGAGACCACCAGCGCCTCGTTGGGCCCCACGGTGTGGCAGTTCCCCATGGCGCCGCGGGCCGTGGCTCCTGGGGCAGCGCGCAGAGCCGGACAGCAGCAGCCGGCCGCGCCCAGCGATCCCGCCGCCCCCCGCGCCGCCCGCTCGCCCCCCTGGGCCGCCGCAGCCCCGCCGGAAGTGTGCGGCGGAGGGCGGGGCCGCGCCGCGGCAGGAACGAGCCCAGCCGGCCAGTCCGCACGCTTTATTAGGGTCTCCCGCCGCGCCCCCGCCGCCGCGGGCCGTTGCCCGTCGCGAACTTCCCTCCCACCCCCCACCAGCGCAGCCCGGCCCTGATCCCCCCCCCCCCCCCCCCCCCCCCGCACTCCCCTCCGGCCACGAGGAAATCCGGCACGTTCACCTACTGATTAACTACCTGGTCACTAACGGGCCGGTTGGGGCACCCCCAGTGTTGGCAGGGCATCAAGTGACTCATTCCCAGGCCCTTGCTCTGCAGCTGAGCGGCACCACCGAGGGCAAGGCGGGCCTAAGAATAGGACAGCTAAAGAGAAGCAGCGCCTGGCACTTGACTCCCCACCTCTCAGTCTGGGGTGGCTGATTTTCTGGGGAAGAAATAATTACCCGTTAGTTCCTTCGACCCAGAGAACAGGGCTCCAGGGTATACCTTCAAGCCCCAGGCAGGAACCACGGAAGTCAAAAAATGTCAACCACCCAGGCTGGCACACACCTATGGTTTTTAAGTGCTACCAAGTGCCACGGGGCACTAGGAGGTTTGGGGCTCAGGTTCAGCTTTAACCACAAGTCGGTGTGTGAGTTTACACAAGTCTGGGCTGTGGTGGGATTCAGAAACCGTGGGCTCCTCAGGATGGGGGCTGTTGGGAGGAGAAGGGGTCCCTGGGTCCTCGGGTTCCAGGTCTTCATTAGGTTCAGCCTCTTCCCCAGTCCCAAGCCCTGCCAGCCTTTTGCTGGCCTCCCACAGCCGGCGGGCTGCCCGGTCATCTCTGGCAGCTGGGGTCACTTCCTCTACATGGCAGTTGGCAAAGTATCTCCCGCTGAGGGGCTCAATGCCTTCCTGGAGAGCACAGTACAAGGGTGTCTGGGCTCCCCCTCTGGGTGCCCGCAGCACCAGCCACGCCAGTGGACACAACAGTGGGCGCAGCCATCCAGGAACGTGGCGCAGGAATAGTTCCGAATTCACAGGCCCTGTGGACAGGAAGAAAAGAAAGTGGGAGGGCAGTATGTGAGGTCTCAAGGTAAAAGTGACAAGAACAGGGGCTGGAGCGATAGCACAGCAGGTAGGCGTTTGCCTTGCACACAGCCGACCCAGGTTTGATTCCCAGCATCCCATATGGTCCCTTGAGCACCGCCAGGTGTGATTCCTGAGTGTGCAAAGCCAGGAGTAATCCCTGTGCATCGCTGGGTGTGACCTGCAAAAAGCTTAAAAAAAAAGTGCATTAAGGAGCACTGCATGCTCCCCCAAACACTGAGAGGGGAATAGCATGGCCAGGTGTGTCCTCAAAACCAAAATCTAATAAAACTCAAAAGAACAGGGCTAAGGAAAGGAGAGATAGCACAGCAACCTCGGTGGGCCGGAGTGCATAGCCAAGCAGGGTTTGAACCTGGTCCCCTGAGCACCTCCTGGGTTTCCCTTACTCTCACTAGGAGTGATCCCTAAGCACAGAGCAGGGTGAGCCCCTGAGCACCACCGGTTTGATCACCAAAACAAACAGGAGAGACAGAGAAGAAAAATGTCTGCCAATGAGGCAGGCTGCAGGGGCAGGGCTGGGCGGGGATGAGGGTGGGGTGAAAGTGGGGGCTGGAGGAAAACCAGGGACATTAGTGGCAGGAAATGTGCACTGGTGAAGGGATGGCTGTTGAAACACTGTATGACTGAAAGTCATGAACAACTTTGTGGTTATATCTCAGGGTGATTCAATTAAAAAAACAAAAACAAAAACAAAAAATAAACCCCAAACCAACCAAACAAAAAAAACCCAACAGGGCTAGAAGGTTTAGGGAACACAAGCCGGTTCCAGGGAAGCCAGGGTGGTATTTAGCAAGTGACCTCACTCATTACCAGTAGCAAACCTGGGTCTCTCCAGCCAAACCACCTGTGGCCCCACCTCTAGTTTTACTCAGGCTGTGTTCCTGCCTGAAACAATGCTCTCTCCAATTTTTTTTGAGGGGTGACCACACCTGGCAATGCTCAGGGGTTACTCCTGGCTCTGGACTCCAGAATCACTCCTGGCAGTGCTTGGGGGACCATATGGGATACCGAGGATTGAACTCAGGTTGACTGCGTGCAAGGGAAGTGTCCTACCCGCTGTACTATCACTCCAACCTCTCTGATTTTTTTTTTTTTTGCTTTTTGGGTCACACTCAGCGATGCTCAGGGGTTATTCCTGGCTCTGCACTCAGGAATTACTCCTGGCATTGCTTGGGGGACCATATGGGACGCCGGGGATGAACCCAGGTCGGCCATATGCAAGGCAAATGCCCTACCCGCTATGCTATTGCTCCGGCCCCAGCTTCTCTGATTTTTTTTCTAGCTCAAGTCTGCTTCCTTTGTCTAACAAGCAAACACTTATTATTATATTATTTTTGCTTTTGGGGTCATACCTAGCAGTGCTGGGAGCAACTCCCAGCCACGAGTAGGAGGATGAGGAGCTGCTGATCCAACGTAGGGCTCAGCTGCACTGTGCGTCCAACTTGCGTGCACAGTTCTCATAAGACATCTCATCCCCAGCAAACATCTGTTAACATCCACGGTATAGGAGGTAAGGCACATGCAGAGCATGCAGCCAACCTAGGTTCAATCTCTAGCACCTCAGACTGTCCCCCAAGCACTGTCAGGGGTTGTTCCTAAGCACTGAACCAGGAGAAGCCTCCGAGCACTGATAGGTGTGGCCTAATTCTCCTCCCCCTGACAAAACAAAATAAAGAATATCAATGTATCTGTGGTAGACCAACCACTGGTTTGTCTTTCTTTTTACTTTTTTGTGACTACAGGCCAGAGTGATAGGACAGTGGGTAGGATGTTTGCCTTGCATGTGGCGGACCCGGGTTCAATCCCTGGCATCCCATATGGTCTACCCATTCACTGCGAGGAGTAATTCCTGAGTAAAGGGCCAGGAGTGACCCCTGAGCATCGCTAGGTGTGACCCCAACGCACCTAAAAAAAATACGACTTTTTTTTGTGAGTACAAGGAATCAAATTCAAGTCTTCACTCACACAAGTGCTCTCCTGAGGGCTATATGCCCTGCCTGGCTAACTACTGTTCTGGATGTTAAGAGAATGGATAAAATGTAATAAAAAATAAGTGTAGGGGGCTGGAGAGATAGCACAGCGGGTAGGGCGTTTGCCTTGCATGTGGCCAGCCCAGGTTTGATTCCCAGCATCCCATATGGTCCCCTGAGTACTGCCAGGAGTAACTCCTGAGTGCAGAGCCGGAGTAACCCCTATACATCACTGGGTGTGACCCAAAAAAAGAAAAAAATATAAAGTGTAATAAAAATTTGAGAGGCCAGAGAGGTAGTATAGTGGGTAGGGCACTTGCCTTGCACAGTCTACTTGGGTTTAATCTCTGACACCCTATATGGTTTTCTGAGAAGCACCAGGAGTGATCCCTGAGCTCAGAGCCAGGAGTAAACAGTAAGCCCCACTGGATGTTGCCTAAAAATAATCCCCTGTTCATGGATCGGGAGAATTAACATTGTCAAAACGGCAATACTTCCCAAAGCACTATACAAATTCAATGCGATCCCTATTACGATACCCACGACATTCTTCAAAGAAATGGAGCAAACACTCCTGAAATTTATTGGAACAATAAGCCCCCATGAATAGCTAAAGCAATTCTTGGGAAAAAGAAAATGGGAGGAATCAACCTTTCTAACTTCAAACTCTACTACAAAGCAGTAATAATTAAAACAGCATGGTACTGACACAAAGGCAGAGCTGTAGACCAATGGAACAGGGTTGAATATACTGACATCTCTCCCCAAGCATATGATCATCTAATTTTTGATAAGGGGACAAGAAAAGTGAAGTGGAGCAGGGAAAGCCTCTTTAACAAATTGTGCTGGCAAAACTGGATGGCTACATGCAAAAATGTGGGCTCAGATCTCTGCCTAACGCCATGTACAAAAGTAAGATCAAATGGATTAAAGACCTCAACATCAGGCTGGAATCCATAAAGTTCATTGAAGACAAAGTTGGCAAAACCCTCCATGATATTGAAGCTAATGGTATCTTCAAAGATGTCACACCACTGGCCAAGCAAGTGAAAACAGAGATAGACAAATGGGACTATCTTAAACTAAGAAGCTTCTGCACCTCAAAAGAAACAGTGACCAAAATACAAAGACAGTCTACAGAATGGGAAAGGATATTCGCTGAACACACATCCGACAAGGGGGACAAGGGGTTGATATCAAGGATATACAAGGTACTGGTTGAACTCCACAAGAAGAAAACATCCAAACCCATCAAAAAATGGGGCGAGGAAATTAACAGAAACTTTCTCCAAGAAGAAATCCGAATGGCTAAAAGGCACATGAGAAAATGCTCTACATCATTAATCATCAGGGAGATGCAGATCAAAACAACAATGAGATATCATTTCACACCACAGAGACTGGCCCACATCCAAAAAAACAAAAGCAACCGGTGCTGGCGCGGATGTGGCAGGAAAAGGACCCTTCTTCACTTCTGGTGGGAATGCCGACTGGTTCAGCCCTTTTGGAAAACAGTATGGACGATTTTCAAAAAATTAGAAATTGAGCTCCCATTTGACCCAGCAATACCACTTCTGAGAATATATCCCAGAGAGGCAAAAAAGTACAGTTGAAGTGACACCTGCACTTGTTTGCTCATTGCAGCACTCTATAATAGCCAGAATTTGGAAAAAACCTAAGTGCCCGAGAACAGATGACTGGTTAAAGAAACTTTGGTACATTTACACAATGGAGTACTATGTAGCTGTTAGAAAAGATGAAGTCATGAAATTTACATACAAGTGGTACTACATGGAAAGTATCATGTTAAGCGAAATGAGTCAGAAAGAGAGGGATAGACATAAAGACTGCATTCATCTGGGGAACATAGAGTAACAAAATAGGAGACTAACACCCAAGAGTGGCCGAGATTAGTACCAGGAGTTTTGCTCCATGGTTTGGAGGCCAGCCACACATGCTGGGAGAAAAGGGAGCTCAGATAGAGAAGGGAGCACCAAATAAAGGGTGTTGGGAGGATCCTCCCAGGATGGGAGAAGCATGCTGAAAGTAGACTATAGACCAAACATGATTGCCACTCAATGCCTCTTTTGCAAACCACAACACCCAAAAGGAGAGAGAGAGAGAACAAAAGGGAATGCCCTGACACTGAGGCAGGGTGGGATGGGGGGATGGGGGGTGGGAGGGATACTGGGATCCGTGGTGGTGGAAAATGGGCACTGGTGGAGGGATGGGTACTTGATCATTGTATAACTGAAACCCAAGCACAAAAATTTGTAAGTCGGGGCTGGAGCGATAGCACAGCGGGTAGGGCGTTTGCCTTGCACGCAGCCGCAGCCAAGATGGCCGATACAGGTTCGATTCCCAGCATCCCATATGGTCCCCTGAGCACCACCAGGAGTAACTCCTGAGTGCATGAGCCAGGAGTAACCCCTGAGCATTGCCAGGTGTGACCCAAAAAGCAAAAAAAAAAAAATTTGTAAGTCTACAACTGTACCTCATGGTTTTTCACTAATAAAATTAAAAATAAAATAAAATAAAAATATATTATAAATATAAAAAAAAATCCACCCCGTCTCCTCCAAAAAAAACTATTAAGTCATTATTATCATTATTAGATTATCATTATTACTAACATTACTAATGAGTTAGGCAATAATGACCTAAAATGAAGTATGTTAAGGGAAGGAATGGCCTTGTTACCCCGTAACCTGTTCTCGAAACACTAGCGGTAGATCTCATTCATTAGTCAGTGTATTCAGACTAAAGGCCCAAACAAGTCTGCCGAATCTCTGGCTGCTCCACTCTCACTACTCTATTGCAGGTTCCCTGTTCTTTCTCCAGCACATCAGATACTTAGGGCCTTTGTATCTGCCATTTACTCTGTTCTTTACACTATTCTCCACAGAAAGCATCCTGGCTGACCCATCCATCACCTTCAGGGAATGTCTTCTTTCATTGACTTAACAAAACAGCATGTCCTGTCATTTCATCATTTCATATTCCCCTTGCTTCTTCTGTCCCTGTCGCCCCTGACCTCCACTTGTCATGTCTATTAGCTCTTTCCTCCTCTTAAGAGTGTGAACTCTACAAGGATAGGATCCTTGTTTTGTTTCTTCTTCTTCTTCTTTTTTTTGGATGGGGGTGGGGGGGACACCCACACCCATCGGTACTCAGGGGTTACTCCTGGCTCTGCACTCAGAAATTACTCCTGGTGGTGCTCGGGAGACCATACAGAATGCTGGGGATCAAATCCTGGTTGGCTGCATGCAAGGCAAGTGCCCTCCCTACCTGCTGTACTATCTCTCTAGTCCCTTCATTTTTTGTGATGCTGGAGCTGGAACCCAGGGTCTCACATTTTCTTTTTTTTTTTTTGGTGGGTCACACCCGGTGATTCACTGCACCCAGGAGTTACTCCTGGTGGTGCTCAGGGGACCCCATATGGGATGCTGGGAATCGAACCCAGGTTGGCCGCGTGCAAGGCAAATGCCCTACCTGCTGTGCTATCTCTCCAGCCCCGGGTCTCACATTTTCAAGGCAAGTGCTCTACTGCTAAGCATTACCAATCACCAGACCCTGCTAATTGACTTTCTTTATTATCTGCTTTTTCGGTCACACCTGGCACTGCACAGGGGTTACTCCTGGTTCATACACTCAGGAATTACTCCTGGCAGTGCTCGGGGGACCATATAGGATGCTGGGAATCAAACCTGGTTTGGCTGCGTGCAAGGCAAACGCCCTACCTGCTACTGCTCCAGTCCCTCATTTTTTTTTTTTTTGTATTTTTTTAGTGGGGGGCATACCCAGCAGTGCTTAGGGCTTGCTCCTGGCTCAGGGACCTTAAGACCTCAGGGGGACTATATGTGGTGCCAGTGATTGAGCTGGGTCAGCACCCTAACTGCTGGACTCTCTCCAACCTGTAAATCTTCTTGAATGAAGAGCTGACTATTAGCTTTCATCATTACATTATAGTCCATTCAGTCACATGAACGGCTCCTCCTTGAGGTGAGAACCTGAGTCTTATTCACTGCTACAGCCACCCCAACCTTGTGCGAGAGAGGAATAGCCCAGATAGACATTCTGGATCCATGAACAATAGCAAAGGGAAACAGAAAGATAGCTCAAAGTTCTCCAGGACTAGAGATAGGTGTGGCCAGAGCCTGGCACGCACAAGGCCCTGCTTTTTTGTTTGCTTTTTGGGCTACAACCACCAATGCTCAGGGGTTACTTCTGCTCTGCACTCATGAATCTCTCCTGATTGGCTTGCGGGACCATATGGGACGCGGGGATCAAACCTGTGTCCGCCGCGTGCAAGATAGTACCCACTGCACCATCTCTCTGGCCCCACAAGGCCCTGCTTTGATCTCTGGTACTGGAAGCACTGTGGGGTAGCCCAAGTGGACTCCAGAACCACAAAGGTGCCCCTCCAGGACAAAAAGATTCCAGTATCAGCAAGGGACAGATCTCCCCAGGAGAACCAGGCTGCCTTCTACTGAGACCGTGAGGGTCAGTGAGAGGGTTGGGTTGTCAGAATGGGGACAGGGAGGCGGGAAGGGGAGTGCAAGCAAAGCAGAGCAGTCAAGGAGCCAGGCCTTACCTGGGTGGGCTGCATAGCAGGTGACACCGGTGCCTTCAAGCTGGGTGGAGAGCTCCCGTGCAAACAATACGTTGGCCAGCTTGCTGTCGGCATATGCCCGCAGCTCCTGCTGCCAACCCACCACCGGGCGGTCCAGGCGTGTGAAGTCAAGGCGCCCGCGCCGATGGGCCGCTGAGGATACCACCACCACTCGGCTCGGGGTACAGGCCTTCAGCCGCGGCAGCAGCAGGTGTGTGAGCAGGAAGGGGCCGACGTGGTTGACGCGCAGCAGCAGGTTAAAGGGCTCCCGGGTCCGGCCACAGGAGCTGATCCCTGGGGCAGGGGCCAGGTGTCAGTACTGCTCCGGAGGGATCCCCACAGGCCTGTGTGTGTCCATCTGTGAGATGGCAGTAGGGGACATCCTTCCCACATGTCCACTGGCCCCCGCGAAGCCTGGCAGGAAGGGATGGCTGCCCCTGGCCACCCGCCAACCCCCTCACCGGCATTGTGGATGAGGATGTCCAGCCGTGGCTCAGAGCTCAGGAAGGCAGTGGCAAAGGCCCGCACGGAGGCCAGACTGGCCAAATCCAAGGCCATGAAGATGACCTCATTGTTCCCACTCTCCTGTGGAGTGGCAAGGGCTGGGCTTATCACCTGGCGCCACCTCCTCCCTCTCCCCAGGCATCACATTCTAAGAGCCCATATTCTGCTCTTGCCAGGATCACCCGAACGCACTGTAATGAGTGGCTAGATACAATAGGGCTGGGACACAAATATTGACTTGGCCTCTGTAGTACGGGGTGACTGTAAGCAAGATACTTGATCTCTCTGGGACTCATCCTCTCACTATGAAACAGGAAAAACTGTAACAATAGCAGACTCACAGATCTGTAGTGAGAATAAATAAGTCACTCTTTGTAAGTTACCTAATGCCCTGCACGGACATCGATGCCTTTGCTAATGAATGCTAGCCTAAATCCTATGACAATCTCTAGTCTCGTCTCATCCACTCTTGGCCCCTCTGTGCGGGCACCAAACTGCCACCTCGGGTTCCTTCCCAAACGCTACCTTTTCATTGGCTCTTCACTGACCAACCTATGAAATCTGCCGGGTCTGTTAGGTTCTCCAGAACGTGACCTTGCCTCTGTATCTCCGCCCCTTTCATTTGGCGCGTTCCCTCCTATTCTAGTCCGGTCTCCTGAAACCATTGTTTTCCTTGCTGCTTCATAAATCAGACCAGCTCTCCTGCCTCAGGACCTTAGCACATGCTGTTCCTGCCTCCGTGCTGCTCCGCTCTTCATCACCACTCCCTGCTGGGCCGGGGCTGGCGCCTCCCTGTTCACCCTCGGTGCCCGGGTGTGTCCGGCCACCGCGCCCGCCCTCCCGGTCCCCTCTCACCTGGCGGAGATCGAAGGCCGCCGCCTCCCCGCGCTCGCGGCTCCGGCAGGCCAGCACCACGCGCGCGCCGCGGCGCGCCAGCTCCAGCGCCGTCATCTTCCCGATGCCGCTGTTGGCGCCTGCGGGCGGCGGGCGGGAGCCGAGCTGAGCCGGGCGGGCCGGCCACCCCGCGCCCCCGCGCCCGCCCGCCCGCGCCCGCCCGCCCGCACTCACCCGTCACTACGGCCGTGCGGCCCCGCAGGCTGGCGAGGCCGCCGCACGGCGGGGCCTTCACCAGGTTGTAGTAGATGAGCACGTAGGCGCCCAGCAGCAGCCCCGCGCCCAGCAGCAGCGCTTCCATGCTGCCTGCGCGGCGGGGCTGCGGCCCAGGCCCCGCGCCGCCCGGGACCGCTCGGGATCCGCTCGGGATCCGCTCGGGATCCACTCCGCACTGACCTGGAAGCAGGCCGAGAGCGCGCCCCGGCCTCGCGGAGGCGGAGGCGGGCGCCCGGCCCGGAGGGGGGCGTGTGCGTGCGTGTGCGCGGGGCCCGGCGAGCGCCCTCTAGGCGTGCGTCTGGGTCCGCGGGCCGAGCCTGGTTTAGGGGGGTGTGCGCTCGCGACCCGGGAGCGCCCTCTAGGTCGGGGCTTGTGTCAACTCGTAGATGCCCGCCTGCGTGCGCGGCCTGGGCGGGTCCTCGCAGCTTCTGTACTCCACTGTACTCGGTGTGTGACTCTTGGCCGGGTGAGGTGCCTGGGGGCCCTGGGATGGCTTTTCTTCTAGGCGTACCTCTGGCTCCAGTGGGCGTGCCTGTGTAAGCACCCTTTGTTCGTGCCCAAGGTGGACCAAGTCCCTCCACGTGTTTGAACGAACATCTTTTGTGTTCCAGGCCGTTGCGCATATGGGGGGCTTGCAGGTTGAGGTTGAAGCCCCTGAGTATCAGCATCTAACACCTTACCTTCCCGAGAGGCATACTTGAATGCCCCTTAGAGTTTGGGGGTGCTTTGTTCAATATAAAGACCCGCAATTGCTTATTCTCCAGCTCTCAGCTTCTAGGATTCTTCCCTGTTCTTTCCCTAGAGCCATGAGGAAAGGGGCTGCCAGGATTCACTTTCATTAACTGCTCCTTTTTCTGCCTCTGACCTCACCTCCTCCATCTCTGGAAAGCAGCAGAAAGCAAAACCTGTCATCTGAGCTACAGGAAGAAATGTGTCTGGAATGACTCACAAGTGGCAGCAAAAGGAATGGAGGACAAGGGTGGGTGGGGAGAGCCAGGAGGCAGGAGTAAGGGTAAACTGCCAGATGCCTTAATAAAAGAGAAAGTCTTGCCTGAGACATCCAAGGCAAATCAGCACCCATTGTTTGGCACTTAGGCGTGCAGACAGTGTGGTTAGCATGAAAACACAGAGCAGAACAGTATGTTTCTGCCCCGAGGGAGTTCAAGAGGCCTGCTAGGGCATGGGAGCAGAAAGGTGGAGACAAGGCTAGGTGAGTAGGCAGGCCAGATTCCTGTAATGAATGTAATAAATGGATGCGTTTCTACCTACAAAGCAAAAAATCCTGGTATGCAACAGGTACCACTTGAGCAATGCTAAGAGTGACACAGGTGCTAAAGAACAGGAGACTGACTGAGTCTCTCTTTAAGAAAAACCTGTGAAGCTCCTCCCATCTGAGAAGAAAGAAATTTGGTTTAATAAAGTTCTCAGGATTTTAGAAAATAATAAACTCATCTTCTGACAGGGGATGGAATTGCAGCTGTGCAAATTGACTTCAAGATAATCTTGTTTTATGCAATGGCACGGTCTAGATTAATTTTCTTGGACTGGGGAGATGGCTCTAAGGGCTAGAGTGCACACTTTGCATGTTAGGGCCCCCAAACTGATCTCCAGCACCATACTGTCCTTTAAGCACTGCTGGGTGTGGTCTAAAAACCAAACAATGAGATCAGCTTTTTCCCTCCCAGGGCTTACTTTAAGTTTTACTCCTGGCTCTGCACACAAACGTCACCCCTGCTGGCTAGGGATGCTGGGGATCGAACCTGGGTCAACTGTGTGTAATACTATCTTTCTAGACCCAGATATTTTAATTAACAAATTGCCCCACATTTTTTTCTTTTGCTTTCTGGGTCATACGGGGTGATGCTTAGAGATTATTTCTGGCTCTGCACCGAGAAATTACTCCAGGCGGTGCTTGGGGGACCATATGGGATGCCAGGGATTGAACCTGGATCAGCTGCGTGCAAGGTAAATGCCCAACCCGCTGTAGTATCACTCTGGCTCCTCCACATTAGATTCTAATCCCTAAGAGTAAGGGTCCAGTCATATCCAGTGTTGACTGCCTGCTCAAATGACTTACCCTCAAGCTCCAGCAAATGCTGGACAGAGGAGAAACCCAAATGAAACTCCTGCTCAGTTAAGGGTGATGGGCAAAGGACAAAACTAGGTATTATGAATTTTCCCAGAATCAATGACTAAAATATGTTAACAAAGAAAGGCAACAACCAGCTCCTCAGGTTAAGCTTCCTAGATCAAAAGATAGATCTGATGCCAGCAACCAAGAGCTTTTGTTTGGGAGCAGGGACTTGCAGTCTTGGATTTTCACAGAATCGGAGTGTCAAGTCAAGCCCTTTGTATTAGTGGTTTTCAACTGCCACTCAGCAGGTGTTCAAAGGTTGAAAACCACGGCTCTGACTCAAGTTGCACAAAGCTATACCACAGCTTCCCCTGCGGATGCCCCTGCACCCTTCCATGTTCTTTTACCCACCTTTGGTTTCCTCTCAAATTTCTCCTTCTTCTGACCTCTCTGGGGGACTAAGACTTGTTCAATGAAATTGTGGGAACAGGAACTCAGGGAGGGACCCCTCGAAGGGTGTGACAGGTAGGACAGACAGGCAGAAAACATAATTTGAAGTATTTTTTGTTTTTTATATACAGAATACAGGAAAGTTTCTGTAAAGTCTAAAACATTACAATTACTATGTACATTGGTACTAGTTGTTGGGGTGGGAAGAGAGAAGGGAGTCAGGGGTGGGAGGAGAGGAAAGAAGTGGCAAGAGAACAAAAAAGGAGACAAAACAGGTTTACGACAAAAACATTTTTGCTACAATAGACAATTTGAATAAAACGCTCTACCACATGTAGTACTGTACACAGTTTTTAAAAACATTGAAAAAATGTCATCACTAGATGTATTTACACAAAATCCAAATACACTTTTCCTTATTTGAAATAAAATAGATGGACAGCCAGAAAAAGAATTCATTTCTCATTTGTCCATAATACACAGTAGCTACCTGTAGTGCAACCGCTGCAGAAGGGAAAATAACTTGGAGGGTGGGAACTATGGAAGGAGGGTGGGAAGCGTCTTTATATTAAATAAAACAATGATATTGTATAGATTTTGCTGTATGAAAACTGTATTTCTTTTAATATAAAACTATTGTCACTGCCACAAAATAGAACAAGTTTCTGATTATTTACAACGGCGGGCGGGCGAGGAGGCGGGAGCGGGAGGTGGGTGGGGTTAGGGATTTGTATCGGAGGAAGTGTCCAGACCATCGGCCTTCCCCTCCCTGCCCACTCTGTTCCGCAGAACAGCTCGGGTCTGCCGCTTTCCCATGAAATGTTGAGTACAAATATATGTGCAAATGCCCCCTAGAACTTGAGAAAAGAAAAAAAAAAGGATTAAAAAAAAGTCAAAAGGTTTTTCTTCATTTCATGCAAAGATTGTAGTCGAAGGGTTTCTGGTGGAGTATAGAAAAAAACCCGGGCTTAGTTTGTGTACATTTTTGCATTGCAGGAGTCTTGGGTTGGGTGGACAGCAGGCAACGGGTTGGCCACCAGTCCTAGGGAACGGAGTTGGAGCGCAGCACAGGGCCCTGGTGGGGCTTGAGTGAGAGCTTCTCGGCCAAGACCCCGTCCTGCAGCAGGCCAGCATCGCCCTTGGGCTGTTTGGTCGCAAACTCAGTGATGCTGAAGACAAACTGCAGGCACCCCAGCTTGATGTAGCTGCCATGGTGCAGTAAGGCTGTGCCTTCCCAGCCGGCCCCACTGCCCCCGATCAAGCTCGAGCTGCTGGCTTTGCAATTGCAGGGTCTCCGCTGTGGCCCCTGGGCCTGGGAGCTCATCATGGCGGCCTCCTCGCTTGGCTCTTCATCTTGTTTCTGGTGCCTGCGGCGCCCTGGGAAAAGAGGGGATGGTCACTGGAGAGGAACAGGAAGGATTGCCGTGGCGGGTTCCCTGCATTTCCCCCATTCTAATTGCTGCATCACGAGGGGTGATGGATGCTCAGAAAGGATCAGCAGAGTCTGAAGTCCCCAAGAAGGTGTACATGCCCCTCGGGGTGCACTGTACTTTCCCTGGACTCATGAGCAAGGAGGGCATGGCCAATAGGACCCGGCGAGTAAGAGGGGCCGGGCGGCCAGGTCAGCACGCCAGGGCGGCCCTGACGGTGCCTTGGAGAATGGGTCTGGAAATGGGGGCTGGGCGGCCGTGGGCCTCCGCTACAACTTACTGATGACACTCTGCACTTTGGCAACAATACTGCTGGGGGGGGTTGGCGGGGTCTTCTCAGAGAAGTCACATGAATACAGCACATTGTCCACCGTTGTCCCGTGCTCACTGTAGTTTAACAGCTCATAATGTTTGGTATTCTGAGGAGGAGGAGGGAAGATAAGATGTGTGGTCTGCTGCGTGGGGCCTGGGCTAAGGGGAGAGAGGACATTTGGAGAAGGCCGTGCTGCTCTACCTGGGGCTGCTCCCCGCCTCCCCGTCATGCTCCTCCTTCCCCATCCCTTCAGAATGGGGCCCAAGATTCACCTCCTCAGGGAAGTCTGCCTGCCTTGCTAGCCCCACCCCTACCCACTTCTTTACTTTGCCTCCTCGGCTGGCTCCTGTGGAATCGTTTTCACCGGCACATCGGGATGATGCCTCTCACTGGCTTGAACTCTGTTCTATGGTGATCCTTTCCCCTGATTCAGGACCGACAGCCCGTTATGCCTGTGATCCACCTTAAGAGAAACACTAGCCCTGCACCTGGGGAACAGCTGGCCAGGGGCAGGCAACCCTATCCCACTAAGCCTCTTCTCCAGGACTGACGGGAAGGGAGGAAAAGGATCCTTCACCGCCTCCCGTTCCCTCCAGGACACAACGAACAAACCTGTGCAGACCCTCACCTCATCATAGAATATGCAGGCATGCTTCCCGGACACGTAGTTACAGTGACCATAGTTTGTAAGGCACACATCCATGTCAGCTCCTGCAGGGCGGCAGGAATAGAAAGACAGGCAAAGAACAGATGGTAAGCCGTCTGTCTGCGTGTGGGAAGAGCAGAGGGAGTTAGCTCCTGAGTGGGTACTAGTAGAAACCTCAAGCAACGGGGATAGCTCCGAGTCCCATTTTTTGGCGTAGGAGCATATCCTGTGGTGCTCTGGGAGTGATCCTAGAGTGTTGGGGGTGGGGGGAGGGGATCACGCTCTGTGTGAGGTG